TATCGTTACAATTCGTTTGGGGCGAGTGAAAACTGTAAAACAAAGTAACTTTGTAATGGAAAACTTATTTTCGTTAAAAACTCAAAGTAAAAGATATCTTAAGGAATTTTTATCTTTAACAAAATATATAAATAAATATAGTTATAGTTAATGTAACGTGTGAAATGTGTATAACTCTCGTATCAACTTGAAGGTACATAATCATCCTTTATAATATAAGTATACTACAAGTACATGTACTCGTTATACGGCAATCTTTAATATATTTGCAACAGACATTGAGCTAACACAGGTCCAGGTAGGTATAGTACAAGCTCTTAAAACATTGGTTTCGTAGTAGCATTTACTTGACCTGAAAGTACCAAAAATACGTCAAATAACACTTATATATAATATATATATATTTACACTTATACTGTTTACTATATGATAAATATATTATCAGAGTGTTATTTGACCTATTGTACTTTCAGGTAATTTAATAACACGTACGATGCTGACCGAGAAGTAATTTACTTGTTAATTTAATGCTTGGTTGCCTTTTAATTCTTTCACGAGAAATAATAACTTCCAGTAAATTTTATTTACTCTGACAAATAATGACTGATCAACCGGATGTTTTCTAAAAGAGGGAATTTTCTTCGAAAGAGGAAGTGATTGTTAATGGAGGTCTTTCCCCTTTCCCCTAGTTGAGTCAGCGAACCTCGTCAGAGGAAACCCAAGATCCGCCTGTGAATCTGTCCCCTGACTCACGGGACCGCTTGTGAACTGGTCTCTCAAGGGGAATTAGGCCTATTTCGTGGTCACCATTAACTGAGTTATTTAGTTCCGCTTGTTTTCAACCAATCCAACAAAAAGTTGAATCAATATACAACATTTATGAAAATATGACGTGGGAATATAACTGAATATAACTGTCTAGTTAAACTTAGAAATATATATAGTTCATACTGTTTCATATTCTTAAATACATATTACTCATGGAATATATATCAAATAATCAACATATTGAAACTAAGGTTGCCGTCTATTGAAACTAATGCCGTCTACTGGTTAGAGGGCTTGGGTTCAAACCCCACAAATCGCCAATGGCTTTTACCCATGTGACAATAATGTAACCCAGTGGTTCGGAATCCACAGCTGAATGTTCATTTATTTTAGATAACACAAAAGTATACGTAACATGGGAGAGCAGAACATACTCTATATTGACGACTTTCCATACTTAATGCTTAACGATACAAAATTATACTTAAATATAGTTAAACTTTAAAAAAATATATAATTATTAAGGCACAATATAAAAAGGCTTAAAAAAAATTTTAAACTATCGTCCAATTACTGTTTAGATATTTTAAAGAAACTCTATCTCTATAAACTATACGAGTAAAAATCCGTTGTGTCAGGAATCAAAAAAATTAAACACATTTAGACACACCCACCATTGAATATTGGATACTGAAGTTGTATTAATAGTCAAAGCTCCTACTTCCATGCTTATATTCCTACAATACAAAGTAAGTTATTGCTTTGACATTCAAGCTACGCTAGCTTACTCTATGTAAACGATTGATAGCTCTATGCATTTTTAACACTCCGCAGTGCAAGGATGTCAGCTGATCGATCGAATGACGTCATTCTTCATTGTCAGTCGTCATAATGATGTAGTAATGATCACCGTCGTATCGATGGCCTCACTTGAGTACATCTTTGTTTAATTGACGTCATCAATTCTTTACGGTGGGAATAAAACAGTCTGCGGCCCAATGGTCTTGTAAAAGATATAAGATGTTACGCCTTGGTAAAAGCCTTTATTAAATTTCATTTACACAACAACGTTGAAATCCTATAGAATTTTTAACAGACAATTAATCTATATTGACGTCATTTAGCTATTTAGCGATTGCGTTATTTTATATGTGTCGTAGATGTAAATGGAATCTTTTATATTTTTAAAGGCAATTTTTGAACTCTAGTGAAACGTTTGAATTATTTTGAAATAGTCTAGCGTCAACTATTAAGATCAAACCCTGATTTAATGATAGATTTTTTGGAAACTTTGTTTATTTATTCTATGCTTTTACTGTTAAATTCAACCATAGTTAGCCATTTTTATACCTATGTTAAAATGACTTTATTTATTAAGTTTATGAATCCACGTAAAATATGACTTACCCACGAATTGGGTTTGTTCTTGTTAAATTACACTACATTTCCAATACCTAATTTCAGTCTACAACTAATTACTATTATTTTAAATATTTATAGTTGGTTGGTAAAACATTTATAAGTAAATAATATATTTATCAATTTATGGTATTTAAAGGCAACATGAGTTACTTATGTTTATTAGTTATTATTGATCAAAATACATTAGATTTTTTTAGCATTGTATAGAAAGTGATGAGTTTGAAATTTAATCGCACTGTTCATGAAGTTACTACTGAATTTTAAACTTTCTCAATAAACTTAGTTTATAAGAACTTACTACTTAACTGATACAAGTTAAGCAATTTGTTGAGTTTTGTTAACTTGTTAATCACTTTGAGAACAAAGGTTCCCTGTTTACGTTTCAACTTTTTTAAAGACATACTTTTAGCAAAGTCAAAACTCATTTGTACAAACTTTGTTAAATTATTAGCTAATAAATTGTAAGGATATATATTTTTTGTTTGCTTGACATGTTTAAAATATTGAATGTGAATTAATTACAACAATGTAAAACCGCTTAAAAAGCTAGGAAGCAACTTCTATTTCGTTTTACAACCTCGCTAGGTACGTTGAAGACCATACATAATTGGGTTTTTAACTTATGGAAAAAATATGGTTAAAAAATAATATTACATATAATGCCGTATTGATTTTATATATATACCGTTTTATATGTAATTGAAAAGTATCTAGTCATATTTAACGAGTTGTAATATGAATATCAATTCATATTACGATTCATTTAATATATATCGCAACATTTGTTTTATCAACCAACAAAATATGTGCTGCTTCAGTAAATCAGTTAATACACAAAGCAAAACTAAGTATTCCACAATTTTCTTGCATTTTATAACTGAAGGTGTTACAAGTTTACTTACAAAGTCTGGAACGCTTCAAAAATGGATGTCTTGATCCGATAAACAGAACAAAAGCGATCAAGGGGAAAGCAAAGAGTAATAAAGCTCGGGACCGCCATAGAATAATAAAGCAACTTTCCAAAGCTAAACCGGTGGGGCGACCTAGTGGTATATCCTGGAGCCCATCCTCGGGTGGATTGACCCAAAACACGACTTTCACCCGCAGGATGTGGGTAAGTGACCCTCATTTTGGTTTTGAAAATTAATGGGACGCCCATCAACCTATGACCCATGTCGATAGCCGAACAGTTAGGTTTTAATTAGATTCATCTCCTGTTGTGAGATGATTAAGAATTTGTTTACAAAGGAAAGTACTGTATTGTGATATTTGGGTTTATTTTTTTCGAAGTGTTAAATAAGAATTCCATGTGTATAAATTCTTTGGTTTTGTAATTTCTCTTCATAGTCTCTCTGAAAAATCAATTAATTTTAGGTCGTAACAAGAGATTTTGATTGCACAATAAATATATATCCTTGAGAAGGTTAAACTCAACAGGCTACATCTCAATTCAAACTCCAAATCACCCGTACGTTTAAACTTACGCAGTAATCAATGATCGTTGAAATGCAGAACTATTAATAAACAATAAACACACTGACCTGACAGAAAGAATAACCCACTTTCGTTATGTAAGCCTAAATAAAATCGTTACTTATTGCAAGCATTTTATGAATTATCACGTTGTCCACTAGGATTATTTAGTTTTGAATTTTAACAATCAAGCATGAATCTAATCTTTTTCTATAATTAATTGTCATTGGCACATCATCAGGAATTGTCATCTAATAAAACAAAAAATCATTAATTTGATCGGAAACCACATTCAGATAGTAATATCGAGCTAATTCGTAATTAAATTTCCTATTTACAGGTTTAATTGGCAATTATGAAACACCCAAATAACCGTTAGAGGTATGTTTGTTAGAGGTAAATTATTAATTTTGTATGTTTTTTAGAGTAGAATCAGAATTAGAACGTATTTGTTCATACGCACTAGTCCCATAATTACTATGTAAATAATTATTAGTAATAACGAATGCACTCTATAAAATCTACATAATTATGATATTCCTCAGGATTACAATTTCTGTGTATACATAGCCTATCTGTTTTCACTCACCACGAATCTTAATTTTTAATATTTGTTTTCAATATTTGAATATTTATAGTGTATATACATATTTAGTGTTTACTTTTTTATAAATATTTCGAAGAGAATTAGAAAAATGAGGTGGGAGGCGCGAATTGTAGTGATAACTTAATCCAAATATCTAGGCCTACATCAACTAAGGACGATTGTACAGATAAATTATGAATGTACATCGTTCATGATATTTATTTGTCTCACCGGGATACAAAATTCATATCTGTTTTTGATACGAATATCTCTAATATTATGATGTTTGAGTGCTAAAGTGTCACGAAAAGTGTACGAAAAAAATATTTAAATGTTGTATACGTTATCAAATGATTTTTTACTTGATTTAATTCATCTTACTGTATTAATAAATTATCATGAATCCTTACTAAGTATTAATAGATATTATATATGAAATAGTTTACAAATAGTTTTTTATTTCCATTATTTCGTATTAATGTTTGTTAGTCAGCTAATCTTACAAAATTTGCTCTCGTGCATCAATAATTTTAATCATACACAAATGCGAATGACAAGCACATTATTTACTTATTTTCTATTTTTGGTTTATTTTTGAATAAAATTATAATTACTTTATTCAAAACTAAAATATTGCTGTGTATTTTATAACCAATTTGTTTATAAGGTACAAAGATTTTTTATATAATTTTTTTATCCAGCCCATCATTTAAAACATTAAACTATTTAAAAAATTTAATTTTTTACTCACCTTCCGAGCGGGCAGTAAACTAAAAGAGGAAGAATAACACAAAACTATTTAGTCCACAGACACGTGATCGAGGAGGCACTGTCAACGCAGAGTATCAAGTAGGCACTGGGCGGCGACGTACGGATCTGGGCTAATATAGCAGGCCGTGGTGACCTGCGCAGAACAGCTGCGCAACAGTCCGCGCGCATCCTTTGATTATAGGTTAGATTTTAGACTTCATTACCCATAGGGGATTTTCGCTTTTTAATTTAGTTGCATGGTCATGGAATTAAATAAGAATAATATATGGTCTATATATTTATGTAATAGTATTGTGTAAAATAAATATATTTTGTAAGGTTAAGTAGTTTTCCGATTAAATATGTTAAAATCTAAAACTCAAAATTGGCTTGTAGCAAATCCATTTTAAGCAATTAAAGAATTCACGGACCTCAAAATATAAATTAATAAAATTGCTAGTTCAAGTAAAATTTTCATACTATAGATTTAGAATCCTTGACTCTATGTTAAACATTAACATATCTGTATCATGTTTATTTTAATGTAACATGACAATGTCTTTCTAGTAACTTAGTCAATGGCAATAAATATTCTTATTTTTTCTTATAATAGTTGTGGAATGGAATAATTTAAAATAAATTTCCTCCGATGATTACTGAAAAAAGGCTTCATAACCTCGTAAAGGAACGGGATCACGAGATAAAGTTATGTTAAATAAAAGTGTATTTGTTTATTTTAATTTCCTGACTACACAATCCTTTTTTTCAGTCAGCATAAATTAAGTCAAATAGACAAAGATGTAACTGTACTTAAATATACTAAATATTGCTACAATGACTAGTATTGTCTGCCTCTTCCGGCGATGATTTACAAAAAGTAAAATTATAAGCTTGGTGAGGATATATTTAAGACACACTTATTTTCCATTACAATTGTTTATAATATCTATTAATGTGCTATTATAAAAATTACTTTGGAGACTCCTATACTCTAATACGAGCAAAGCCTGTTTATCTGTCAGTCTGTACTTTATTCTCAAAACTCAGCGGAAGGATTTTGACTAAGTTTTGGAATTAACTACTTATAGCCTTAAAAACGCGATTGACGAAATCCACTGCCTCGGGAAAATTCGGATTTCACTACACAAATCTTTAAGACATTTTAGAATTTAACATTGGCCTTATGGGCTGCCAAGTAACTATGTTGGTTGAACAAAATAACAAGTAATATGTTAAAACAAGTTCTCTAATAAGATAAGATGAACACAAGATGAGGTAATTAAGTTAAAATACACTTCTGGAACTATAAAATATGTATTGGCGCAAACAATCTCTGGATAAGTATAAGGGCATAAACATATTTATTTATTTTCCTCAACTGATTCTTTGTTTCATTCCAATATTGGACATTGGGTTTGGTTGCTCAAGATAATTTTTCTTACATTTTCATTTTGACTCCATTACCTAAATTGTATACCTTGTTCACAGCAATACATTTTAAATTTACGATTTGCTGGTATGCTTTATAAAAAACGTTGGTGATTGAATAATTATAACAATTAATCTAAAACGTCTTTATTACAAAATTATTGTAAAATAGTGGTAACCATAATTCAATTGAATTATATTTATTGTTGTATTTACTGTCATATTATTTATTGTTGTAGTTATTGTTACATTAGCACTTTTGTGAAGCATTAGATATTAAACATGCCTGTATATCCATGTATATTATTGTAAAAGGGTGTAACCATTGAGAAATAAATACATTAAAGTAGTGTTCTTTCCTCAGGTATTTCAGGAAAATAGCTGTGGTTTTAAGACTATTAATTACTTTGGTATTATACCGACCACACCTAATAATTAATCTAACCTAAGGGTATACTATGTTTTAGGTTAGGTTAGGTAAGGCTAGGCTAGGTTAGGTTAGGTTAGGAATATTTTCTTATTTAAGCTAATTAATCTTATTTGGAAATCGATTTATCGGTGTGATTGGTATAATACCAAAGTACCAAGACCTTTTTAATCAACCATGGTACCTATTTAAAACAAAAATTATATGAAAATTGAAATACTTTACTACAAATGGGGTGGTAATTGTATAGACTACCGAAAGTATTTCTATTAATACACCTTTGTCCGCTTGTGTTGTACTTAAACTTTAAGTTCAACAACAGTTTTTAATCCAACCAATAGGCCACCAAGTAAGTACAATTCTCGTATATCGGCTGCAGCCTCAAGTGAGGACAACTCTTCCGTAGCGCGCCAGGTGGGTACCTTGTCCTTGACTCCAGAGTGACTTTCTCCCAGCTTTCCTCGTCCTCGACCTCTGTCGGGCCGTCCCCCAGCGGGGCGAAGCCCTCGTCTGACGCAACGGAGGCGACCTAGCGGTCTAGCAGTGCTCGACAGCAACTGTAGAGTGCAGAGCGTGATGGGCGTGACGTCATAGCAACGGTCGTGATCTTTTCTAACGTGGTTGATGAGGAATTATGAAAGAAAGTACACCCGAAGTAACAGCTGACTTGGCTGGATTACAGTCCTAGCGTTATGAGTGTCGCCTTTTAGGAAAAACTATGACGGAAATGGAACTGGGAACTTAACCTTGTTATTAATCGATGCTTCGAAACTGGATCCACCTGCTTTTGATCGTTGGGCTTTAAATGATTATGGTTAAAGAACCATATGATATTATCCAGAACAAAAATAATTGCATCCGTTGTAGAGGAGAAATTATTCAATACAAATTTACCATCTGAGGCAATTGTGACCCTTGATATTCTAGAGAATATGTTTTATGCCAGTCAATCCTACGTTTATCCACAACTCGCAGCAATATTATCTTACTAAGTATTACTCTAAATTTCTATTACACGAAATAAATTATTTAATGGTATTACTAATTAACCCCCATAATCACCAATGTTAGAACCATGTTAAGCTGTTAGGCTGTATCATAAAACTATATTTTTTTTCAAATATTTCCTAAAATATCAAATAAAGCTTTAAGTAAAACTGTTTTATTGCTCGCTGTCCCTTGAGTGTACATTCATAGAATTTCATACTTTCTCATTCTTGGAGTGTTTCTCTTCATTCTTTACCCTTATCTTCCTACAATTACCCATATATGTTTTACACCACAAAATTCTTAATTTGAACAAACAGTATTCGGAATATTCTCATAATGTATACTAACTCAAAGAATAGCCAGGTTGAAATTTGGTTGCTGGATATTTATCGTTTTACTGTAGAGGGAGATAACCGGACAGGTAATAAAACAGAATTAGTTTTACAAACTCTAACTCACAAAATCATCAATACTGTACCGGAAGCATAATATTACTTGAGCCCTCTTAGTGAAGGTTATTGTCGTACTAGCTTGTTTACTACAGCTCGCATTGTCTTGTAAGTTATTACTCTATGGATGGTTTACCGCGCACAGTTAGCGAGTAACTGTCTATGTACTCAGTGGTATTTAGCACTTCCGCTCTAGGTCGTTGACTTCTTTTTCTTCTTCCGCTCAGAGTGTACATCTTAAAAAATTTGTTGTCAACAATAGCGTAACTCAAGCAAGTAATGTTAAAAGAAAATAGTACTTGTAAGAAAGAATTTTTTTATGTTAAAACAACTGGCTATGTTTTCTGATGACTCATTTAATTATGAATCCCCTTCGTCAATGTTTCACACGCTACTTTCCAATCAGACCTGAAGCAGATCTTGATAAGACATCGATCGATTCAGTCAAAGCCACTAATTGATTCTACGCTGTCAGTATACTGTGGTTTTTTTCATCCATAAAATACAGTATCTTCCATTTATATTTATACTGAAATTATACATAATAAAAGTGTATAAATATCCACACCACCAGTGTCATCAGTGTACACTTCCTTCATTTAGTAGGTCACAAATTATTATTTCATTGCCAACACATAAAAATGCTTCCATTAATTTTGTTATACATTTTTAAATTGTTTTCCATTTTTTTCTGTTAGCAACCTATAGGAAATATTATTAGTTACCTAATTCCAATCAATCGTCACAAATTAGACAACCTTATGTTCTTACACCAAAAGAGAACATACACGAATGCAAAGTTCTAAATATCTGCACAGGTAGATTCTTTTAGTTCCATCGGCACGTCGAAAGCATAGCACGGCTCAAGATATGCAATATATGTACAGGGTGTACCCATATTGCCTACCAGCGCCGTGCTAGTGTCGACGAGTCTTGTACTTGGAAAGCTAGGCAGGCGCAAGATAGGCAATATACTCCCTGTACCCATATTGCCTACCAGCGCCGTGCTAGTGTCGACGAGTCTTGTACTTGGAAAGCTAGGCAGGCGCAAGATAGGCAATACACTCCCTGTACCCATATTGCCTACCAGCGCCGTGCTAGTGTCGACGAGTCTTGTACTTGGAAAGCTAGGCAGGCGCAAGATAGGCAATATACTCCCTGTACCCATATTGCCTACCAGCGCCGTGCTAGTGTCGACGAGTCTTGTACTTGGAAAGCTAGGCAGGCGCAAGATAGGCAATACACTCCCTGTACCCATATTGCCTACCAGCGCCGTGCTAGTGTCGACGAGTCTTGTACTTGGAAAGCTAGGCAGGCGCAAGATAGGCAATATACTCCCTGTACCCATATTGCCTACCAGCGCCGTGCCATACTGCTCTACATTATTGAGTTCATTAACTGGCGAAGTAATGTCTTGTAATTAGGAGTAGTAGTTCTCTCACTACACTCTCGTTCTACCAAGCACCATCTCACGCTACGACGAACATCTGGAGCTAGCTGTGTAGGTGTGCGTGTGTGAGGTAGATTGTACTATGTAGGATATGTTCGTAGGTCTTCTACAAGATTAAACATTTTCTCGCTTTTCTACTGCAGTATGAATGCATTCTCACAGTGTTCAACATTATTTTCTGAAAGGAATTGTATGACTAATATAAATCACAAAGTTCCTGCGTCATGTGGTTGATCGTACCATAGATAAAACAGTCTATGATCGTACTCACAATCATGTTGATATTTTGCTAATCTAAAATTATTTTACGGGGAAATAATTAATCTAAATACGTAACTTTAGAACGCACACTTTGAATTGCAAGGCTAGTGC